CATTGTTCCCTGGAAAGTGACTTCCCAGTGACCCATCCAGTTTGGGATTTTGTGTCTGCTTTCTTCAAGCCTTTAATTTAACATCCTCCTGCAAACGCTCTTGTTTTATGGAGTAAGATTTTACAATTGATGATAAAAGTCAGGTAAAATCTTTAAGCTGCGTCGTTCTACTATTGTGCATTAACAATACCCTCTTCCCCCAGGCCTGTTTCATTTTTGTTAATCTTTTTTTTTTTTTTTAAATTAGGAAATCTCTTCACAGCTAGGGGCTGTGGTGGGCACCTACAGTCCCAGCTATTCAGGAGGCTGAGATAAGAGGGTAGATTGAGCCCAAGAATTTTAGATAGCTGGGCAGCTGATCAGTCAAAAAAGAAAAAAAAAAGCCTCTGATAGGTTAACACTTAATTTCTCTCCATAAGAAACAAGGAATAAGAAATAATGGGAGCCAGGCGCTGGTGGCTCACACCTGTAATCCTAGCTACTCAGGAGGCTGAGATCTGAGGATCGCGGTTCAAAGACAGCCCGGGCAGGAGAGACCTTGAGACTCCTATCTCCAATAAACCACCAGAAAACCGGAAGTGGCGCTGTAGCTCAAGTGGTAGAGCACTTGCCTTGAGCTGAAGAGCTGAGGGACGGCGCCCAGGCCCAGAATTCAGGCACCATGACTGGCAAAAAAAAAAATAAATAAATAATGTTACTGGGATTTGATTCAGGACCTTGTGCTTGCTAGACAGGCACTCTACTACTTGACACACACCTCCAGCCCTTTTTGCTTTCATTCTTATGTTTTGTTTTGTTCTAGTGCTGGGGCTTCAACTCAGGGCCTGGGTACAGTCTCTGAGATTTTTTTTGCTCAAGGCTAGCATTCTACCATCTGAGCCACAGCTTTACTTTTGGCTTTTTGATGGTTAACCAGAGACAGAAATCTCTGAACTTTTCTGCCTAGGCTGGCTTTGAACTGTGACCCTCAGATCTCAGTCTCTTGAGTAGTTAGGATGACAGGTATAAGCCACCAGCACCTGACCAATGTCTGGTTTATTTATGCGGGTCCTAGGGCTTAAACTCAGGGCCTGGGCACTGTGCAGGAGCTTTTTTTTTTTTTTCTTTTTTGCCCAAGGTCATAGCTCCACTTCCACCTTCTTGGCAGATAATTAATTCGAGGTCAGAGTCTGGAGTCTCACAGGCTTTTCTGCCTAGGTTGGCGTTGAATGGAGATCCTCAGCCTCCTGAGTAACTATGCTTAGAGAAGTGTGAGCTACCAGCGCCTTCTATTTATTTTTTAAAAATTTATCAGACTAGGATTCTGTAACCCAACTTAATCACCCATTCCAGAATTCCAAAATGATCTCTTCCCCGGGGTGGGGACTTGGTTTCTGTGGTGCGGTGAATGAAGCCAGGTCTTCCCACACGGCCAGGCCAACGCTTTGCCACGGAGCCATGAGAATTTTCACACACTGAGGTATGTTACCTCAAATAGCAGCTGCCCTAAAGATAGCCTGCCCTCCCTCGTCCCTCCTGCGAGCGGGAAGGGTGTAAACAGCGCCTTTGGGAGCAGCATGGGGCCCGGGGCTTCCGGGCGGGGTGGGGAGGGAAGTGCCGCGGATCCTCGGGGTCTGGGGCGCGAGGCCCTCTTCCTCCTCGGCTCGGGGCGGGGGCCTCGGCAGGGCAGCCGGCCCTCTGGAGTCAGGCCTGGCGGGGATCCCCCGGGGGTGGCCCGGGTCCGGCTGCTCTTCCCCCTCCCGGTCTGGGGCTCCGGTTTCCGGGCTGCCCCGTCCCGCTCGGGGCCCGCGGGGACCCCCCCAGGCCCAGGACACCGCCTTCCGGCACGCTGACCCC